CGCACGTGATGTTGCACAAAACATTTATAATTATATATACAAAGAGTTCTAATACGAAATTACGATAATAATAAACTAGGATTAGATATAATTATTTTATTTATCTCATTCGTATACAATCGCGTATATAAGGTTAGAAAATTAATATTTGCGATATTATCCAAGGTCAAAGCTGATTGTTTTTTTTAATTTCTTTTTTTTGACCAACCGTTCAAAGCATGTACCCTATATAGGTAACACGATGATTCAGATCAGAGAGATATAGATAGATAGATAGATAGATAGATAGATAAATAGATAGATAGATAGACAGATAGATAGATAGATAGATAGATAGACAGAGAGAGAGAGAGAGAGATAGAGAGAGAGAAAGATAGCCAGCGATAATAAAGTGGTTTGTGTTTGATCCATCGATAGATGTAATGCCTTTATCGAACAGCACTTAAGACAGCTGTGCCGCACGTGTCTGACTGATTAAAGATTGATCTACCGCACTGAGGGTTAAACCCGCATATGAAGAATTCGACACCCCGCTTTTTGGCTAAGCGGGATCTTGAAAGTATCAACAAAACAATTGCCAGGAGTGCAATTACACAATTTAATTTTAAATGCGACTTAATTTAAAATAAAAATAAATTGAATGCATTATGCATTTCTAATAATTAAATTGAAATGGTAAACGATTAGTAAATGAGCTAAAATCGGAAAAAATATTTTTTATATCTGTCTTCTTAAATACATACCAGCCGTTACCGCTTGGTAAGTTGAACGTGATAGCTAAGTATGTGGGATGAACGTATTGAATGTTGTATTACGTTACATTTCCTAAACCACCGACAATTTAATTGATGCTTGTTTGATGCTCTACAATTTTATAAAACAACATTTAAAGATTTCCTTCTGCGTAGGTCGTTGTTTTCTTTGTGCGGATGCGTACCACCTAGAAGAGCTTAAGAGGGACCCACTTTTTATTATATCGATCAGTTAAGAATCAATTTCTAAATCGCTTTAAGCATGTCCGTCCGTCTGTCCGCTTTTTGTTTGATTTTTTTTTATATTTGTTTTATTGCATTATCTTTATTTGTGTATATTTATTCGTTGTAGGTGTTCTGTATGTTCGTTTTGTTTCTAATAGACGCTTGCATATATTTTGATCCAAGATATCTGTTGGTGCAAACGATAATTTAATGCAATGCAATGCACACAAAGGTTAATTGATTTTGTTGTTTGATTCGAAGAAATGTGCTGCCGACGCCCATCAAACAATTTTAAAAGCTTATGATGACACTGCTCCATCATATCCCAATTGTCGATTTTGGTTTCAACAGTTTAAAGCGATGATTTTGATGTCAATGACAGAGAATCACCTGGAGAACAAAAAAAAGGAAAAAGACAATGAATTGTAAAAAAAAGAATTCAGCTCAAATCTCATTTGCATGCGATGGGAAAGACCCAAAGGGGGGAAATTGCCATCATACGAAGTGATTCGAAATGGCATTTTGAACCGTTTCAATATTGCGGTTTCATTGCTTGCCAGACAAAAAAAGAAGGGCTTTCTGCGGCGTATTGTGGCTGGTGAGAAAGAATGGATCTACTACGATAATCCCAAGCGCAAAAACACACGGGTTAATCCGGGAGAGCTGTCCACAATGTCGCCGAAGCAGAATATTCATGGACAGAAAGTTATGCTGTGCATATGGTAGGATCAGCAAGGTGTAGTGTAAACCGAACGAAACCATAACTGTAGATGCCTATTACCACCGACGCCAGGTCAACAAACTGAACGATGTATTGTTGCAAAAAAGACTAGCAACAGCAGTTAACAAACGCATGACAACGCTCGGCTATACGTTGCAAGAGTTGTCAAGCACACGCAGTTGCAGTCCCAATGACAAGCTGTGCCGCAATCAACTATCTCACCTTCGCATCTTCTGATCATTACTTGTTCAAAGCGATAGGGCATAGGTTGTACGCGGTTCCGAAAACCCGACGAAGAACAAAAATGGGTCGATGATTGGATAGTTCCGTTCGACATCGTTTCGATATCGTTCTTTTGACAGGGTATCGCCATGTTACCAGTTCGATGGGAGAAAGTTGTAGAAAATGATGGAAAATATTTTGCTTAATATATATTGTACTAAATTTTTTTCAACAAATGCCTTCGTCAAGTGAAAAAATGATTAAAAATGATTTGACATGTGATACGGTGTTACGGTATTTTTCATAGCAGAAATATATTTCCACAATAATTCCCTGCAGTCTCCTAGCGAAAGTGGCAAATCAGCAGAGAATTTGAGTTTTTCTATGTCTACTATAAAGACAATAGACTTGCTATCCACAAGTGCTATCCATTGAAATGGAATCTGAATTGAATATCATATGAAATATTGAATATTGATTTGAATATCAAATTGAAGAATGAATTAATTATCAAATTGAATAACGAATTGTACATTGAATTGAATATCGACTACAAGTTCTAAGCGTATATAATAAGTGAGAAGGTTAAATCGATTCCGCCATTCTTTAAAAGGTGTACAACGCGGTGAGGCCGCTGCATACGTTATAAGCACTTCATGTACATAATATAAATCCTCTACGATGGTTTCAGAAATAACAAACAGAATCTGTACATATACATATACATATATATATATATATATATATATGTATTTAATAAACATATCAAATTATTTACATTTTATCTAAATTTAAGAGATTTTAGCGAATGCAAAATACAGAGAGAAATTTACTCAGCGCGTACTCAAAGGCAAAATGAAATGAAAAAAGTGAAAAACAAAGGAAAATGTATTCAATTGAGGTCATGTGCACTTAACGCTCTTAGATACACACGTAAATCGGGAGCATATGCACTTACTTAAGTGCAACTGCACTTGGAAAGTATTGTAGATACATGTTGATAGCATTTTGTAATAGGAAAAACACAAAGATACGTATATAAACAACAAACGCATACACAAACGCGAACACGCAAATAATGAAAACAAATACACATAGAAACGAATAAAGCCAGTTTATGTATGATATGCAATTACGTATTGTATAAGTATGTGAGTGCACATATATAAATATAAGTATATACACTAGTATTCGCTGATTTTAAATTAACTATAAAAAAGAAACGTATGATTCATAAACAACACAAAGGGAATGGAAAGACATTAGAATAAATGTCATAAGACAAATTAATGCTGAAGTTGAACAAAAAAAAACAAAAAACAAAGCATGAAAACGACAGTAAGAAGAAATCATGGCCCGGTAGTATATCTGTATGTTTGTTAAACATAAGAGCGTGAGCTTATTAACGCAGCCACTTTCAGTTCACAGCTGGTACAAGAACGCAATAGGAAGCTAAGACTAGAATTTGCCAGGGAAAACGCCCAAAGCTTAGTGAAACCCTATGGAGAGAAAATATTACGAAAAATCTGCTCGCAAATTCTAATAGTGACATTATCAATAGCTTAGTGGATCTTGAAATCGTACAAGAAGAAACCTGCAACAAATCTGCGACAACAGGTCATATGTAAAAGCCGTTTATCAATACGGTAATCGCGACCCTTAATAGACGCTGCGATATTTTGAATTTTCTAAGTCTTAAGTGCTCCTTCCTTTTAAGATTTCATCTGCAGAAATAATTAAGAGTATATTTCATTTTCTGTGCTAACGCGTCTCAACTCTTATCTTCAAAATCGATTTTAGAATGTCATCTTACGACGAATATACATAAATATGTGCGATATTTGACATAAGTTATTTAAAATGGAAATTAATTATCAAAGAATTATAGTAAACAATTTTAACATCAAAGCATGTAACGTTTTCTTCTTCTTCTACTTCTTGGACATCTGGAGGTCTGTTCTGAAGTTCAGTGTTTAAACCACCAATAAGTGCGAGTTGACGGTTAACAACAAATTATATAACTGTATAACTGGCATTATACAGATGCCCTTGTCAACATTTATGATGAAACGAATACAGATGAATATTTTCAAACTGTCTGATAACATCGAAACGATTTCTTTGCTTTAAAGTGTAAAATAAAGTTTCAATTATGCCGTTTTAATTAAGTACAAAATGTTTTGTAAATAAAATTTTTTTAAATGATTATTATGTCATCAAAACTTTAAAGGATACAAAAATAATATTCAAAATCGAATTTGACTAACAAGTGTTAAACAATACTTCTTTTAACTTAATACAAAATCCAAAAAAAAAATAAATAAATAAATGATAAGAGCTTTTATAATCATAACGCGTTGCTCTTGCTTAGCAGCATGTTGCTGAAAACATTTTCTCTCATGAGTTTTTTTTTTTGTTTTTTTGCTTGTGCTCTTTTTCCAAATCAAGTAGAAACAAACAACTTTTCTTAATAAAAAATTTCAATTTTTAAGAGACATGGATATGCAAAGACAATGAATGATTCCTTGTTTTTATTGTTATTGCTATGTTGCTGACACAGAACGCTATAGAAGTTAAAGGCAGCAAACGACAAAAAAGAATCTGTATAGTACGCTTAAAGGCAAAAAATAATCCCAAAGATGAAAGCAGTTAAACAAATGAACGACTTTACTTTACACCCAACAAAGCGAAAACTCATCAGTTCTTATTTGTACGCTTTACGCTCTGGATCTATTCTCTCGCATAGTATGCTATGTGTATTATAGGTTTTTGCTTTCCTACTATAGTGAAGAAAAAAAATAGTATAAACACAAATCTATTGCTATGATAATTTAATGAAATGAAATAAATAAAAAAAATAAACAAACAATTTTCAGCGTAATGTTTAGTTTAAAACGTCGCGTGTGTTCATCACCTTTATGTGAATAAAAATTTATGCAAAGGCCCGAAAGTCTATATACGTGATATATATGCATGTTTTGTTTAAATGATTGAGATAATATTCATAATTAAAAATATAATAAAAAAAAAAATTCACGATACAAAGGAAATATAATGAAATTCAAAACAAATTGTGAAGACAATTAAATTTTTTTATATTATTTATTAAAATAACAAAATAAGTGTGTGAGGTGAGGCGAGGTGATGTGATGCATCCATACGAATTGTGTAAAAGTTTTGATTAAAACATAACAATTAGCTCGGGTTTCAGATATGTTAGCCGTTCCTGAATAAATATCAACGCGACTAGGAAAAAACAGGTAAATGAAAAAAATTTGATAAAAATTTGATAAATAATCGAATTGAATTTAAAGTTCGAAAACGGAAAATTTTGTTATACATTTCATAATAATTGAAAGAAGAATTCTTTGTGTCTGCTGCTCTGTCAAATATTTCTCTTTTTCAACTTGAATACGATGCTCTTTTTCATAAATGCAAACTTATTTGCGCTTGCGCTGGATCTAATTTATGTTATTTTCTTTTCATGCTTTTTAAAAAGAAATTTTCTTTTTTTTTTGTTAAATTTTTAGAAAATTTGGCATTTGCTTTAATTCGTCCATAAATATACATATATATATATATATATATATATATATATGTACATATATATATAGATATATTGTTTTGCACCTAATCTGTAGTGTTAGCATCAACACATGTTTTCAATCATTATCTATTTATATTGGGCTTTCTTAGCTATTTAAATGCAGTTGCCGAATAATTTTGTATTTGTGGCTAACTCGGGAGAAAGGGTGGGGTTGACATACAGACTGCTTTTTACACAATTGTCAATCAAATTTTTGTAATGAATGAAAGGTATATAATATATGTAGTGTTCACATAGCAAATTTGTGTTATGATATCAAGATGTTATCCATTATGATGAACGCTACTATACGTTGTCTTCATATACACCCAGTAACTAAGGGGATACAAAAACATATAGAAATACTTTTTCTTTTGAAGCTATTTCAAAATTTAAATATCACCCTATCATGAATAAATTCCAAATTTCGGTTACGTTAAGTGTAAGAAAGAATTAAAACTTTTCTACCTGCTATTGAGTACAATAGTGAATCCCTCTCTTGTTTTGTTTGAAATTTCGGAAAAAAAAGAAACATAACCAATACTAGGGTGGTGGGAAAGCAATCTCTCCGTTTTTTTTCTTAAATTGTTGCAAAATACTTTTGTTCGTATTCATTTATATCATTCGAGCAAACTTTTTTTTTACTCCTTTCCTAGTTTGCTTTGAAGCATCTCATGCATGCCGTCGAATGTGATGCCATTTGGCGACACCTCTGCATGTAAAAACAACAAAACGCTTATTGCATAGCTTATGGAATTTAATTTATAACTATCGATAACACGTTAAGAGACTAATATTTCTTTTTTTACGACTAGGTTTTTAACAATGCAAATGTTTTCGTTTTTATAACAAGTAAATGTATTGTTGATTACTTTGTTAAGAAATTTTAGCCGTAACTGGCGTTTAGAAAAATAAAATAATAAATATTTAAAACAAGTAAAAGCGCTTTAATGGGCGACGACTCATCTTTAAACACCCTACCACCCTTCATATCATGACTGTTCAAAATAAAGGACTCTATGCACAGCGGTCAGAGAAGTGTTTGGATGCATACCATTTTCAATAGATTTTATCCTTGTACCTAATTGCATCAAAATATCTCAAGAATTGTGGCTTGTAGTTTGACCATTAGAAAACAGGATGTGTGGGCGGCCATACAGAGACAACAGAGAATCACTTTCTGATTCAATCGCAAGGCACAAGGTGCTGTAAGCTATAAATACACTCTTGTTTTTGTAAGTTAAGATATAAATTTATTGTCACCAAGTGTAACTTTGTAGACAAAGGGGATAAATTATATTTTTTTGCGGACTGTCGCAGTTTCATTAACGTCTACACCATTTTTAACGATTTGCGTTTTCCTACTTACTCCTTTTTGCTCTTCTTTTTACATAGGCATGTGAGAATGAAACCGAAATCTTTGTCTACAAAGTACGGTTTTATTGTACGAATATGGTAAAAAATATAATTTATTCAAACTGTTGCCCATCGTCAGACATATATTTATCCCAATTTGTAAATGTCACGTCCTTAAAAATCTTCCCCTTTTACGGCGAAACATATATAGAGTGTTTTTCTTCACACCTTCGCGTGGAATCAAAGCGTTACTTAACAAGAGCGCGGCAAAATGTCGAGAACAGGCTTTGCAATATGGATGAATGGACCAACGACACAGTAAAAAGTTCCCTTGTGTTAATTATTTTATTATTCTGACCTTTTTTTCAACATTGAACTTTTCAAATCGATTAAGTGTTAATCGCTTTATCGGGCTTAAAAAACCCAACCCTTCTAATCCCGCTCAGTGCCAAGTATTATCTCACTGCCTTACCGATCCGGTCTTGCGATAGATGTGGATGGTATGGCTTAATTTACATATTAATCTACCTATGCATATCTATGAGTAACATTTCGACGCAAAAACGACTTTCTCTCCCACCGCTCGACGAAAAAATTATGCTGTCGGCGAGTGCTGTTTCTTTGGTATCAAACTCGACACGTTCAACGCTATTACAAACTATATTGTTGTATGAAACTTGCATTGTCACGCTTTGAAAGTAATGCTCGGGTATCATTTAGAGAAACAGCCACCAATGACGCAATTCGGCAGCAATGCTATTGACAGATAGCGTCATCTAGGGGCAAATTCCGCTATTGAATTTTCATATCTCGTATATCTATCTATATACAACGGGGACTATGTTAGATGGTGCGATATGCTTATAATGAACTCCAAGGCCCTATACAGTACACATTTTTAATTATCGTAAATAACAGAATCTATTAGGATATGCCTGTCCTTGGAAAATTTCGAGTAGGCGTACGTGTTCTTTCGCCTTCAGTTTTTGAAGTTTTCACGTAAAAGTTAAGCTAAGAACATACATCGCGCTAATGGCCGGCCATAAGTAAAAAATTTGGGCCCTAAGCAGCCTGCAAGTAGCTAAGTAAATGACTGACAAAAAAAAAAGAAAAATCAAGCAGAAAAATAATTCTTAAATGTTGCCGATCACTTACCTGGTTACACGTTATCGGTCTACAAGTTGGCTCAAAAGTGTTCATTTAATTTTATTTATATTAAGTAACTCTAAAACGTTTATACAACTATTCTCTAATAACAAAAGGGATGCCACACGCCCAGCATGTGCTGTACATTGTTGTTTATATTTATATTACAGAATGTTGTGGAGAGCAGTCTGTACTTTTAGATCAATAATAGAAGGCATATTTTTGTTTTGCGATTTCATGTGACTTGCAAATAACTGAACTGAACTGAACTGCATTGTATTAACTCCAATCATCCAATAGGAAAGTGTGAAGGCGCAGAACGTAACTTGAATAACTGACTTTTTACTCAACTAATGTTGACAGATGAGCGCAATTAACCACAATAATAATAAAAAAAAATAAAAAAATTGTAAAAAACCGGATATTTCAATAGATTTTGCAATTATTCTGCAACATATTAACGCAGTATTATTATTATTAATGAAGATGGCTGGATATTAAATTTAAACTGAATTAATGCACGCGCTTAGTTCGATAGCTTCGCTCAGCAGCAAGAAGGGTGGTTCAGCCTTGGACTAAATTGGTTTCATTTTTTTCAGAGGCTGCAAAACTAATTTAAGTGTGCGTGCCAACAAGAAAATCAGACAGACAAACAATTTTCAATTTTAAAAAGGGTGGAAAAGAAAACTATGTACCGGTCTTTCGTAACTTTCTCCCGCACTATTGACTTTCTCATTGCCGTGGGTTTTTGGATTACCTGAAACGATATCAGCTTGTCTGTCCGTCTTTCCGTAGAAAGATTGTTGGCTAAAGGGTACAATTTTTCAGATATTTTGACAAAATTTTGGTATATTGGCGGGTTTTGGTCCAAGAACAAACGCCATTCTAAATTGTTTACATTGGCGAACCTTCATAGCTACCTTCTACGTAACAACTTATTTTGACAAAATTGTTACAATAATGGCAAATTTTACAAAATTATTTTACAAAAATCGGTAAGTGACAATAGTGCCGCATGCTAAATTGAGATGAAAAATCTGAAGAAAATGAGATAACTTTTTGTACAAAAGTTAAGCAAATTGGCACCAAGTCGGTCAGATCTGTTTAGACCCGCCTGAAAAGTATGCCTTTGTATAGAATGGTATAAATTTTATACAGAATAGTATTTTATGGCGAAAATCAGTGACGAATTGAATTAAGGTGTTTCATCATCGTCCTAGTGCGAATCTATTCTTATACCCTACATCACTTGTGATACAAGAGTATATTTATTTTGTTCGGGTGTATATAACATCCAGAAGGTCTTAAGATAGATTGATTTTTTACATTTTAAGTTTATCTTCTCCTCTGTCAGTTTTGTATTTGTATGTGTTCAACTTTACAGCTCGCAAATTGTGGGATATTTTTAGGAAATTTGGCCCAACGACGTGTTTTAGTGAAAGCACGCACGCTATTCAAAACGGTACGGGCCGGATCGGGCTACTTTTTCGACTACTTCCCATATAATGCCTTATTTTGAGAGATTAGTAGGCCGATGTAGAATATTTAATGGTGAGCCATGCCTCCAGTACAATGTTTTTACTTGTTTTTATTTGTCTTTTCTTTTTTTTTTTTTTGTGGCTTTTAAGTCCTTACAAAAAATAATCAAACAGAGATCATTCATAAGCCATCAACAGTTAATTATTATAAGTGGAAATGGATTTTAAGTAAATGTTCATTTCAACATTATTAAGACTGCGCAGTATTTTCAATCTTGGAACTTATAATATATGTATGTATATATATATATATAAGAATTATAGTTCCAACTATTAAATTTACTTAAAAGCCATTATTTTGTAATTGCTGTACATTTTAAGTGTTTACTTATTTAAGTATTAACACTTGCATTAAAAATTCTTTTTTCAACGACTTTCATCGATAAGCAAAGAGATGTTTTATTCTTTCTTGAAACAGATTTTTTTTATATATGCGGCTCATCATAATGCATTAAGAAGTGCAAATCGACAATCACTGTATCTTTGACAAAAAACAAGAGCATACACAATAAATATTTAAATAAGTAGTTTTTCACATCAACAATTCTTTCCAAGTGACTATGTAAGTTAGCTGTAATATAATCATGCATTAAAACTGCAGAAATAAGAGAATTAATTTAGGGGAAAGGATATT